AAACTTTACATTTAAATTTTAAAAGTTTCACTGTGTAAATTATAACTTTTCACTGTGTAAATTAGAAAACAATTTTTTTTTTTTTTTTTTTTTTTGTCTTTTTCCATGTCTGGCAACGGATCGCAGCCCTCACTGTTGCCCCCGTACCGGACCGGGACCGGCAACGGGATCGCAACCCTCGGTGTTGCTCCCGCGCCTCGCTCAGCCAGTGAGCGGGAACCGGTCTGTATGTGGGATCCGAACCCTCGGGCGGGAGCACCGCCACGCTTCCCAAGCGGCGCACTATCCAGTGCGCCACCGGGCCGGCCCAGAAATCAATTTTTTAAAGTTATATTTTAAAAAGGAATTAGATTCACTTAAAAAAAATCTTTTCATAGATAGTCCATAGAGTTTCTCATAAATCCGATAATCCATGTTGTTATGGAGTTTACAGTCAAAATAAAACATTTCTATATCTGATTATTTTATCAAAATAATTCTTAACAAAAACTGTGACAAAGTGCTACTGATATGGGCTACTGGTTGGGTCTTTAACATATTTTCATTATACTGAATTTCTAGTAGTATTTTTTCTGCCACTGGGATTTGACTGAAGTCAGTGATAGATTATGTTCCAATATGGAAAGGAGTACACATTTGGCAGAAACCAATAGGTACTCTTAGAATATCTAGCTAATGAAATTTAGTACAATGATAGATGGCTACCACAACATCAGATCTGATCTAAATTATTCAAATACACTAAAATGTTTAAAAATGACTTTCTAGTGAAATACAAAAGTAGGCCTCACCCACAGTCAGACAAAACTGCAACACATGTACTGCTCCTTCTTGTTTCAGAAAGTTCATAAAACGAAACAAAAGATCTTGTTGCTCTCTGATTTGCTTCAATTCTAATTTCAGCACCTTGATACAATATGGGAGGAAGAGTAAGTTAAAGCTATATAAATGCATTCTAAAACTGTTTATTATCAAAAATAATGTTATGGCTGAAAATACTTACAGATGGCTTCTTATTTCTAGGTTCTGCAAATTTTTGCAAGAATGGAACCAACGGGGAAGCGGGTTCAGTAGCTTTTTCAGGCTTTGAAGAAACAGAATTATTAACTCAGTAAAATTCCCATTCAATTTGACATGAAAATGAAAATTCAATGCAATCTGAAGTGCTTTCTAATATGTTCAGTACTCACTGGACTGTCATCTATGAAGATTATAAGCAAATGATTCACAGTATCCTAATGGAAAATAATAAATATAGGTCAAAATAATTCCATTACTGTATTCTGCCCAGAATTCTTAGAACTTTTATCATATTATAAAAGTTTCTAGAAAAATGAAGACACAAATGGAGCAGTTGCAAAGTATCTGCACTTATGTATTACAGAGAGACTTATTAAAAAATCTATAATGCGTGTTCTAAACCTTTGTGAAAATGGGCAAAGAAAAGCTATTCTGACTTTTTGACATCTAAAATGTTTATAAACTACTTCCGTTTCTTCAAAATCCTACTGGATCAAAGGTGGAAGTATCCCAAGTGTCTGTTGATGGATGAATGGATAAGCAAAATGTGGAATATACAAATAATAGAATATTACTCAGCCTTGAAAAGGAAAGAAATTCTCACACATGTTACAACATGGACAAACTTGAGGACATTTGGCTAAGTGAAATAAGACAATCACAAAAAGACAAATACTATAAAATTCCACTTATATGAGTCACCTAGAGTAGTCAAATTCATAGAGAAAGAAAGTAGAATGGTGGTGGCTAAGGGCTAGGGGAGGGAAAAATGAGGAATTCTTGTTTAATGTAGAGTTTCAGTTTTTTAAGATAAAGAGTTCTGAAGATGAGTAGTGGGTGGTGGTTGCACAACAATATAAATGTATTTTATACTGGCTGAGCATCCTTAATCTGAAAAATCCAAATTCCAAAAAGCTCCATAATCCAAAATTTTTTGAGCACCAATGTATACTCAAAGAAATGCTCATTGAAGCATTTCAGATTTTAGATATTTGGACTAGGGATGCTCAACTAGTGTGTATTCTACAAATGTTCTAAAATCCAGAAATATCCAAAATTTGAAACGCTTCTGATCTCAAGCATTTCCGATAACGAACACTCAATCTGTACCTCTGAAATGTACCCATAAAACTGTTTAAGTCAGGAAATTTTATGTTTAGTATATTTTACCACAATTAAAAGAAATGTTTTTAAAATCTTACTGGATCAGCTAGGAAATCCAAAGAAGGAAGGAACACAGAACCAGACAGTATTTCTCTTATAAGTAAGGTCAGAGATCTGGAAAAAGAAATAATAATTACAAATAGTGACTTACATTAGTTCTTAACTTCCAAGTACATATGAATTACCTCAGGATCTTGGTAAAATGCAAACTATAATCCAATAGTTCTGGGATGGACCCTTCTGCATTCCTAATAAACACCTAGGTAATGCTCATGCTACTGGTTCACAGACCATACTTTGAACAACAAGAACTTGGTGGCCTTACTTGGCTAAAAGAGAATACTATTCAAGAGGAAAAAGGTGTTCCCTTAGCTGAAGCGACTTGGATGACATTAGAAAATGCTACCTGCCTAGTAATATTTTAAATGTTTAATATATTTCTAAATTAATGTGTAAGACTAATATGCTTAATAGTATAATACAATTACCTTTTAGTCATAATATTTAAATTAATATTATAAACTAGTCTCAAATAAAAATGCTTTAAAATATTAAAATAAATTATTTTTTAAAATAAAATAAAAATTTAAAAGAAAATAAAGTAATATTTAAAGTACATCACTAGGGAGGTTTTGGTGATGGGACACAATAACTAACTACATTGTATATTGACAAAATAAAAATAAAAAATAAATAAATAAATAAATAAAATAAAGTACATCACTAATAATAGGCCATGATTTCTCCTCTAAGGACTATTAGAGAGAGAATAATAAGGTAACTTATGGAATAATCTAAACACACTCCTGCCAGAACAATGGACAGTAGACTAGATAATCTCTAATTATTCTTCCCCACTGGATATCTTACAATCCAAACTTATCTGTATAGTTTGTCCAAAGTGTTTCTGCCTGTAAGAGTCATAATGCGTATGTCTTTAAAAAGACACACCAGAAAATAAAGTATAATGATCTCAAATAAGAAAATTAATTTTATTCATATTTATTTTCAATGTCCAATATCAGTTTTCAAGGAAAAAGTCTTAGCAACATAACATACCACAAATATTTAACCCCTAAATTGGCATTTTAAAACCTGATAATTTTTTTTTCCCCAAATGAAAAACTGTTCACATTACAGGCTAACCTCAAGTATTAGCATACTCCTATTATTATCAAGAATAGCAATATACATATGCATGGTATACAAATACTACAATGATTTTTTTCTGGTCTATACCTGCAGTCTGTTGCTTTAGGAGGCAAAATATAAGGAAAGAGTAGTTCGGTAAGTTTCCTTAAATACTGTAATTCATCTCTTCGACTTCTCAAAGCCACATGAAGCTCTGGACCATATTCTTCTAAAGCAGCTTGCTGTAAAAACTCTGTATTCTTTACTATAAGTAGAGATAAAAAATAAATATTGAAACAAGTTAAGCAATATTAAATAACTTCAGCCATTTCCACTAACAAATACAAGAGCATCTAATGTAGTCATTCCTTTCCTAACCCCTCCTTTCTTTCCTACAGGGAAATTTTTCAAAAACAGGGTTTAAAGAGAGAAATTCCTCTGCTGTAAGTCTGTTTATTTTGCAATAAATTGGTAGAGACACTTTTCCCTCTAGCAAACAAGAATTTAAGGTCTTGTTGCTACAAAGTATATAAAATACAGCAAGTTATTATTTTAAAGTTGAAAAAAACTACAAAAGATGTCTTCTTGCACACACAAGGCTTCTGTTATCAAATATTACATCTTGTTCATCCCCTGCAAAAACAAAATATACCCTATTCAAAATTCTTTAATTGCACCTACTTTCACATCATTTTATAAAAGCAATTATAGAAACTGGCTTCATTGCTTAAGTTCTACATCTTCTGTCTAGAGCACAGGACACAGAGGTACAAAACTACGTAAGTTAAAGAAGTCCATGAACAAATAGATTTCTTAATAAATATTAACTGATAATTATAAAATTTATAAAATTATAAAAATTATACTAACAGAAAGGTTTTTTTTAAGGCCAGGTACTGAAATAATATTGTAAAACTTAAAAGTAATAATATTCACTCCTTTTTGTAGACCATAAAAGATTAAGTAGAAAAACAAGTCACAAGTCATGCTTTCCCCGGTTCTTCATTCTGTGATGAATTTTAAAATCATGGGAGTCTGTGCAAGGAATCTTGACTCTAATTCAATGGCATTTATTTGTTTAACTATTTCCATCTATTTTTATTGAAAGAGAATGTAAGCATACTCACAAAAAAAGTCAATATATGCATTCTAATAATGAGTACTAAGAAGGAAAATAAAGGTTATCTACACCTGATGTACTAAAGCAGGACTGGCAAAGGATATAGTTTTTACAAGAAATGCATTTTAAATTATTTGCCAAGCTTTTCCCCCTCAAGAATTTGGGGCACGAGTCTTTTAAAAACTTACAAGAGTTAGAGCACAATGTTATAACACCTAGGACAAGGGTTTAGATTCCCACACCAGGCAGTCATCAAAAAAGAAAAAAAATTATAACAAGAGCATGGAGATTTAGATTAAAATCAGAAGACTAAGCTATGCTAAGACTCAGCTATGCTTCTTTACTGATATGATTTTGAACAAATGATATAATCCCTTTGAGTCTTAAAATCCACATCAGTAAATAGTTATTAAATAGTTAACACTGAAAAAGTCATCATACAAAACACGTAAGTAATTGTAATATTTGGTATGATTAGCATTTACACATAACATATAAATTAAATCACTAGATTGGAATCTACTCAACATCTGTCAAACGTGAGAGATTTTTGTACTCCTAGGTAATAAGAAATTAAAGGAATCAGACAAAACATAATAAAAGGGGAGGGAGGAACACCTTAATTGGGAATATAAGCAAATGAGATGCTGGAATACATGGAGTGGGTTAATCTCCCCTAATCACCAGTTTATCTAATGCCTAATCAGACAGCAGTTTCCACATCATAAAAGGAAAGGTCCCCAGAATCTATGACAAAGAGATATGTTCAGGTTTAAAGACTGGAATAAAGTCCTTCTGAACAATCATTAATGAATTTAAATTAAGCCAATGCTTCTACTGTGTATACATATTCAATATTTCTAAGAGTCACGGATGGAAGTACTTACATAGAAAAAAAAACTTTATAATCCCTATTCTCAAGAGGCAGACTAAGCAGAGAACGTCAAGACAGTAATGATAACTACAGATTAAGATATGAACCTTTATTTCCTGATTTATATACAAATATGGGGCCAAAAAATTTAGAAAATAAATTCACACATTAAAGAAATGAAAAATCAAAAAACTAAAGACGTTTTTTTCAAGCCTATGTTTTTTACAAGCCTCACTGTCATAATACTTAGAACACTGGGATCCTTGGATAAAATTAGAGCTCTTCTTATTTTCTGACCTTTTAATTCTATGGATTTCATTAATTACAATATTATCAATGAATTCAATCTAGCATTTTAAAATGATTTTATATTGAGGATGACTTTTTACATGAATAGTAGCAAATAAGCAATCCTCTCTTGCAAAGAATAAATTTCAAAACAATAAATTTCAGTCAAACTGGTCTGTCTCTATACTTAACACCACTCTAACAAAAACAAAATAATTTGGGGATTTTAATAAACTGCTCAACTAAAAATAAAAAGATGGCTCCATTTATTCACAGCGTGTGGTTTGTTTTGTTTTGTTTTGTTTTGTTTTGTTTTGTTTTGTTTTGTTTTTAAAAGATGACCAGAAAGGGGATCTTAACCTTTGACTTGGTGTTGTCAGCAACACGCTCTCCCAAGTGAGCTAACCGACCATCCCTATATAGGGATCTGAACACATGGCCTTGGTGTTATCAGCACTGTGGTGTTTTTTGTCTTTATTGTTTTTGTCTTTAGAACAAAATTAAAACTGTACTAAAAATATTTTTCCCACAAAAACCTGCACACAAATGTTTATACTGGCTTTGTTTATAACTGCCAAAAATTGGGAAGCAACCAAGATATCCTTCTATAGGTAAATGGGTAAACAAACTGTGCTACATCCACGCAATGGAATATAATTGAATAACAAAAAGAATGAATTATCAACCACAAAAAGACATGGAGGAGTTCTAAATGCATATTGCTAAGTGAAAGAAAGCAGTCTAAAAGATATTGTATGATTCCAACTATATAACATTCTCGAAAGTCAAAACTACAGACAGTGAAAAGATGGAGGAAGGAGGGATGAATAGATAAAGCACAGGGGATTTTTAGGGCAGTGAAACCATTAGTACGCTACTGTAAGATGATTACGTGATTATACATTTGTCAAAACCCAAAGAGCAGACCCTAAAGTGAACTATGGAATTTACTTAATAATAATGTATTGATGTTGGTACATAAATTATTAAAAAACATGCAACTAATGCAAGATGTTAGTACCAGAAAAAAGGGGGAAATATATGAGAACTTTCTACATTCTGCTCAATTTTTCTGTAAACTTGAAACTGTTCTAAAAAATAAAATCTACTTATTACAAAAAAAAACACTTTTCCTAAATTTTCTTCTGACAGTAAAAATAGCCTTTCTTTACAAAATGACTACAACAAAGATACTACCTTCTAGTGTGTTTTTGCCAATGACGGAACAATGACTTTAAAAGTTAATTTTTTAATTGTTTTAAAGATAAATCTATTTATATATTTGTTAAATAACATTTTTTTTTCATTTCTTAAACTACATATATGAAAATAATAAAGTAAAGTAACCTGGGATAATTAAAATAAATAAAAGCTAATTTTTTAATTTAACAATTAAGTTACATGTACTTCAACTCTTCCACACTTATTCTTTTTTCTAACAATGTTCAAAGTAAAATTATTTTTACTTGTTTTAATAAGATGAACAAAGAATAATTATTAAATATATAATTTGAAATGCTTCTCTTACCTGAGGAATTATTTATACTAAAGGGCAAATAAACTAATAATTTGATTTAATTCAACCTCAACTCTACCTACAGCATAATTTCCCAGAATGTGCTCTGATTATATTAATTGATATTCTGAGGGAGGGAGAAATGGTTCCATGCTCAAATAAATTTGGGATGTGTAAGTTAAAATTAAAACTATTTCTTTGCTGCAGTACTCAGAGCTGTTGGTGTACTAGTTAGTACTCACTAGGAATTTCCCAGTATAGTAATTTTAAAAAAATATGACCATGGTCATATACATAGAGTAGCATTCTGTAAAACATACTTTAGAAAGCAGTGACAAAGGAGAATACCAAATGCAAACACAAAGAAAATCTCAGTTTTGCACAGAACCAAGTATGAAGCATAGAAGTAATTTTGTTAAAAAGAAACATTTTAGCTTGATTTTAGAACAAGAAAAGTCCTAAATGAAGACTTTATTCAATCAGGAAACATTTACTGAACATATGCCATGTGCAAATTATGTTAGTAAAAAAGCCAGGACACATGAGAAATAGCAAACAGGTCACCCTGGCTAAAGCATAATACATAGTAAAAGACAAGACTAGATCAAAATATGTGACTAAATAGAAAAGGGTTTAAAAACACAGTTTAGGCACTATAGCAGAGTCAATAATTTTTTTTTTTTTAAAGATGACGCGTAAGGGGATCTTAATCCTTTACTTGGTGTTGTCAGCACCACGCTCTCCGAAGTGAGCTAACCAGCCATCCCTGTATAGAGATCCGAACCAACGGCCTTGGTGCTATCAGCACCATATTCTCCTAAGTGAGCCACGGGCCGGCCCACTAATTTTTTTTAGTAGGGAAGTAACATGAGAATTGTGATATTGTGAAGTTAACGTGGTAGCAGTATACAGCATGGGCTAGAATAGGTCAAAACTGTTGAAATCATTAAGGAGAAAAGGGAAAGAGATGTGAGATATACTCAGAGGATTAAACTATTATTCAGAAAAAGACTGTACGGTCATCAGTACTATATCTAAAATGTTAACTAACTATATTTTAATTTTCATAGATTTTTGAGTTTTCACACTTACATGCTTATAAAGAAACTGTTGAAAAGGAACTTCAGTTTAAAAGAATACTCTCATAGCATTTGTGAATGTACAACTTAATGTATCCCTACTCACACTTAGATATTTCAGCTGAAAGTTGATGTATAAGAATAAAATCACTCAAGCTTGTAGTAGAAAATTGTATTACCTTTCTGTCTGGCTTTAACTATCACTTCTATATGCTTCATTGCCACTTTTAATAGTTTCTTGGTTATAATAGATGGAATATCCACCTAGAAAAATTCAACATTAAAAGAAAACATTAAAGGTAATTATCACTAAGTTACAATGGTGGGAACGCTATATTTAAGAGATTGGAACGTATCTTAAAAATTAGAGGTATTATTCAGAATCTTTCAAAAATATAACTTAAAAGGACTTTATATTCTTGGCTCATACTAACTAACATTAGACAGTTTTTCTACCACAGTATCGAAAATTTGTCTTACTATGCATACCTTAAATACTAAATTTTTCCCACAAAATAGTATCTTCATTCCTGGCTTATTTCTTTATGTGTTTTTTGTTTTAATTGTACTCAAGGAAAGACCTCCAGTAACTTCTCATCCCATTGAGGCTATAAATTTGTGTTTACCAAGAAGTTATTTAAAAACGAACTTTTTAATTCAGCTTACAAGATGAATCCTGGTTTTAGAAATATGGAAGCATCCTATTTAGATGACAGAAAAATAATAAGTTTCATCATTTCCAACCAACATTTTTCAACCTAAAGGCTGGAAGCTGTAGTGATTATGGTAGGTTAGTGAGGGAGGATTGATGGACTGCACACACAGAAAAGAGGCAAAAAATAACTGAAAATAAGTTTCAAATAAATCATCAAAAAACATGATTATTAGGCTTTAACAAGCTTATCTTCCACCATAAAACTTCACACATTTTTTCCCTTTATCAAAGGTATGAGAAAATTCTATCACAATAGTGTTAACTTTTGTGTTAACTTTTCACTTCTTACATTCCATATACTAAGGAGATCAAAATCACAGGGTGATAAATCTAGCAAGTGTGATGGATTATAAACCCTCAAATTTTAGCGATTTGCTGGTAAAACCCAGAGCAAAGATCAAAGATGTACAATTAGAGGAGATATTTTTACTAGTATTACATGTCATTGCAAAATAACATTACTTCATTACTCATCACTTATCATTGGCTATTTGGTACAATGATTCTAAATCACTCTCATATTAATCAAATAAACAAGATGTTTCAGTTTTCAAACATTTTATAAAATTTTGTCTTCTGAAAATACTCATGAAGATTTTCATTTTTAAGTTCCATATTAGGAACTACAGGTCAGAATAAAAATGGTAAAATAATGAGTTTGTCACTAAACTTTGATTTTAAAAAAATGGTGAACCTTAAATGATTCTGTTTTCATTATCGCCAAACTTCCAGTTTATATCATCCAGGCAATGGTATCAAGGACAGAACACTGCAGTGGGAATAAGATGACCCAGGCCTAATCTTCTGCTCATTAACTATCTCTGATACTTTGACAAAGTTACTAACTTTCTTTAAAATTAATATAATAATGACCCATTTATCTCCCAGGAATAGTGATACAGATGAAATTAGAAGAAAGAATACATACTGAGAGAATGAGTTATTTGCAAATCATATCTCTGATAAAGGACTTGCATCCAGAATATATAAATAACTTGTATAACTCAATAATAAAGACAAATAACCCAGTTAAAATATGGGCAAAGGATTTGAAGAGACATTTCTCCAATATATCCAATCCAAAGATACAGAAATGGCCAATAAGCATATGAAAAGATGCTCAACATCACTAGCATCAAGGAAATGCAAATCAAAGCCACAATGAAATACCACTTCAAACCCACTAGGATGGTTAGAATCAAAAAGTGAGATAATAACTAGTTCTAGCAAGAATATAGCAAAACAGGAACCCCCATACACAGCTGGTGGAAATGTAAATGGTGCAGCCTTTTCAGAAAACAGTCTAGCAGTTCCTTGAAGTGTTAAACAAAGAGTTACCATTTGACCCAGCAATTATACTCCTAGGTATATAACCCAGATAAATGAAAACATATCCACCAAGAAAAACCTGTATACAAATGCTCACAGGCACCTAAGAGCCAAAAAGTGGAAACAATCTATCAACTGATGAATGGATAAAAATACTGTAGTATATCCATACAATTGAATATTATTCAGCCATAAAAAAGAATGAAGTCCTGATACATACTACAATATGACAACATGGATGAATCTTGAGATTATGCTAAGCGAAAGAAACCAGTCACAAGAGGCCACATACTATATGACTCAATATTGTATTTACATGTGTTGTAAAATATAATTATGTATTGTATGACACACATTATATTTATATGAAATGTCCAGAATAGACAAATCCATAAATACAGAAAGTAGATTATTGGTGGTTGGTTAGCTAGGGCTGAGGGGATAGGAAGGTTAGGTTTATGGCTAAAAGGTATGTGAGGTCTCTTTGTGGGTGATAAAAATTGTGTGATGATAATTGATTGCGTGATTGTAATGAAAATTGGGTGATTGTGATGAAAATGATTGTGATGAAAATTGTGTGATCTAAATTGATTGATGAAAATTGTATGATGTAAATTGACTGATGAAAATTGTGGTGACAGTTGCACAACTCTGAATATGCTAAAAACCACTGAATTGTATACTTTGGGTGAACTGTATAGTATGCAAATTATCTCAATAAAGCTGTTACCAAAAGTATATATACATATACTTACACAGCACACTCCAAATATAAGGTGCTATTATTTTAGAAGCTACTAGGCTATCTCAAAGCCTAATATAACAGAACAGTTATATTAACCATCGCCCATTAATTAATTCACTGTAACGAGGCAATCAAAATTAATTTGATAAATTAATTTTATTTGACTTATTCCCAGTTGTAATTTAAATGGTTTATCATCAACCAACTAAATCTTTTATCTATTTAAAATCTCACTAAGTCTTTTATTCTATTTAGTCTATTATGAGACAATTGCCTTTTTTAAAAACAATATTATTGTTTATCAACTTTTAAAAAAAAATGATAAATGTCCAATGCAAAGAAAATAGGGCAAATATAAAGAAATACATGGGAAGAACCAAAATTCAGCATCAGCCCACCACCACAATAAGAGTTAAGAGAGATAATGATATCTATGTCCTTAATATACATATTACCAAGCTTTAAAATGTTAGCTTTGTTTTAAAGTAGAAGAATATCACACATATTATTTGCCATCATCTTCCACTTGACTATTTTCCACTTGACTTATGGGAAGATAAATATTTTCCCATGTAAATAAGTGTTATTCTACAAAATGAATTTTCATGGCTCTGTAGAATTCTATAGTTAGGATGTATTATACTTACGCAAACAACAATCTTATCATTTGGACATCACTTTTCTTTTCAGTTTTATTATAAATTATACTGTAATAAATCTTTGAACATACATTTTTATACCACCTTGATTATTTCCCTAAAATATATTTAAAAAATAAAATTAAATTTAGAAGTATAGACATTTTTAAGTCTTTTAACAAAGATTACCAAATTGCTCTCAAGTATGAGTCATACACTAGTTTGGATTTGTACTTCCTTTTCCTATTTCCCCCAAATCACCATTACTAGATATGAATGTCCTTTTTTTATCTTTCCCAATCTGATAGGTAAAAGAATAGTATCTCATAAAAAATTAAATTTATTTCATGTGAGATAACATACTTTCAAGTGTTCATTGGCCATTTTATATTTTTCTTTTGTGAACTGCTCATGAGTATTTTTTGCATATCTTTTCTACAGTGGTTGACTGTATTGTTCACAGCTACAGAAACATTTAAGAAGATTAATATCCATTTTATTTACTAATGGCAGAGATACCATATACTAATTGTCAATATGTTCACTCCTTTGGATTGACAAAGCAGTAGGTGAGTGTGTGTGTATCTACAGACAATGTATATAGGAAATACTACAAACATATATAGGAAAAGACCCAAACATACACAAAATATGACTCAAAAAATATTTTAAAACAGTAGATCACAATCATTGCCATTTACTCAATAAATTCATCTAACTGGAACATGGCTTTTTTCTATAGTCCTTCCATTTCTAATTTCCACAAATCAAGATAACTAAGCATTAAAGAAAGCAAAATTAACCAATGGATCAAAAGTAATTCATTAATTTTTAACCTAAAAAAGTGAAAAGTGAAGAAAAAAATACACATGGTATTGGAAAAAGTAAAAATAAGATTTAAAATAGTTTCTTTCATAATGATAAAGCCCCAAATTCCCAAATTTCTCATTATAAATATATACCTTGTGAATCCTTCGTATTAAGACAGATGCAAAAAACCGTAATGTTATTCTCAACTCATCAACAAAGGACTCATCATCTGTCACATCCCTTCAATTGAGGAGAAAAGTAAACAATCAGAAGTTCAGAGAAATAGTTTCACCTCCTAGAAACCAAAGAAACAACTTCCTCTTTTTTTCCATTTACTTACGCTATTTTTTCTTTTTTTTTACAAACGCATTTCAATGCAGAATAACAGAAATGTATAAAAAAGAAAACAAACATCTCGCATAATTCTAGTCCCAAGACATAATTACTACTAACTAAGTTGCAGTATATATTTCTTTGCAGACACACATGTACACAGTCTTATTTCACAATACTAGGATCATTTTCTAAGCATCAAAGAAATTTCAGAGAAATAAAACAATGAATATTTCGAAGGCTGGAAGAAAACAATGAATAATTTCAAAGGAGCCAGCCATGGGCCAGCCCCAACCTCCCTTCCCTCCTCCTCCCCCAACATCTTAGAATATACTTATTATAAAAAATTTTTTTAAAAATTATAATAATTTCAGAGAAGCAACAGAATTAAATATAAAATTTTAAATAAGTTTTAAATATTTATAAAATATTATGTTAATTCTAAAAGTAAATAAAAAATGTGTGCTCTATTTGAAAAAAAAAAACATTTTAAACCGAAATTTTGACAACCTTCCTCTGAGGAGCTATTTTTCAATTTCCTGAAGTCTTGAGGTCCCTAGAAGAATTCAGACACTTTCCTAACCAAAGGCAATAAGGATACATAATGGTAATATCCTGAACTTGAAGATGGTGCTATTAAATCCTTTAGCAGAATAAGGAAGATAATTGTATCAATCATGCTTCCCACTATTAACCCAGGGAAGGGGATATTACAGCATCAACAGCTAGAATGAGGAGAAAACACATACTTTAACACTTTGAAATACAACCAGATTTATGTCTGAAGAGTCATAATGTGGGAGCGAGGGGAGATAAAGGGGTCTTAACAAAAGGACTCATTTAACAAAAATTCCTCACCATCAACTTTACTTAAATGGCAAATGTCCCATATTTAAGACATAGTCTAATGTAAAAAATTAATATACATAGCTTTTCATGAAAACATAGCATATAAACTGGATATTAAATTTGTCTTAACATACTCTAGATGAACTCAACTAGTCACATTTTTTTAATTAGGAAATTCAAAATATACTGAGTCGATATAAAGCTACGGTGGATGACATTAAATATTATATCTGTAAGTCATATAGGTGTAAGTATTCAAATACATAAACACATGATGCTTATTTAAGAAAATATGTATTTATTAAATGACCTTAAGCTGGATTTCTCTTTGATTCTCAAACTAATTTTTTTTTTCAGATCTAGAGTTTTCTATATCCTGCAAGGCACAGGGCCCTTGTACATGCATAGCATGTAACAAAGTTACTTTGGAAAAAAACAATTTTCCAAGAAAACTATTGAAATTATCTTTCAATTTAATGAAACATCTTAATATAGATTTTCCCCCTAAAGATACAATTATTTCAAATATGAAAACTGTACAAAATTATTAAACCACTATATCTAGGAATGATGAGAAATTCTACAAGTCACTTTTCTTTCAAAAAGCAGCCTAGGTTCCTTTCCTCTTTACTATTACTCAATTATTAATTTATTGCCTACATCAATGGTTCTTAACTGGGACTGGTTATGCCTTTGAGGCTACGAAGACATTTTTGGTGGTCACAACTTGTGGGTGGGGGAAGGGGAGGGGGTTACTAGCATCTAATGGGAAGAGGCCAGGGGTGCTGCTAACTATCCTATAATGCACAGTATAGCCCCCACAACAAAGAGTTATTTAGCCTAAAATGTCAATAGTGCCAGAGTTGAGAAATGCTGGCCTACACTAAAAATACATCATTACCATGCTTAACTTAACGATATTCACTATATTAAAGAAAAAAAGGTCTTAAAGAAAGAACATACCTGTACCATGGATAAACAAAGTTTTCCAACACTAATTCAAGAACCTGCATAAAAATTATTTTTTAAAGAAAAATACAATTAATCAATGCTGGGAAAATAAACTGTACTACTTAGTAATATATATTAGCAAGAACCAATTTTATTATTCCAAATATTGACAGTAATACACTTTCACATGACAAAATGTGTATTTCAACCTTATACGGTTGTGAGGATCAAAGAGAACATGAGAAAATAATCAGAAAACCATAAAACTCCATAAAAAGGAAAAGTTACTATTAGAATGATACACATATTTCTAAATATTCCCATAATCAAACAAAAAACTTAAATTGTTCCTGACTCTAAAGCTTCACTGAACCGAAAAAGTTTTATGGAAAGAAGGAAAATTAAAGGTTGGTCCTTTGGCATTCTTACCTTTCTCTGTAAGTCAGTATTCTCAGAATAAAATGAAGAAACAAGTAGCTAAGATTTATTTAAGGGGTCAAAATTAGGTGTCAGTGATTACCTTTGAAGGGAGGATAATGACAAGAAGGGAACATGAAGGGAAGTTCTGGGGTGCTAGTAACGTTTTATTTCTTAACCTGGATGTTGGTTATATGGATATGTTCACTTTGTGAAAATTTTAGCTGTACACTTAAAATCAGTATATAGGTTATATGTGAAAAAGTAACAAAACAAAACAAACCCTGAGTGTAAAACCTTCCATTTCTTGGGTCTTGGTGTAGCAGTATTTGTCATTTTTACAAGGAATTGAAGCACTGGGCACTATCTTTAAAAAACAGTAGGGAGAGAATGAAACAATGTATTTAATCTATAAACTTCCCAGATCAGATCATATACCTTCTCTGGAAGCAGTAACAGAGATTTCCAATTCCCTAGTTTAAACATTAGGGCAACAATAATTTGGACTTTTTTATACAAAAACTAAGTATTAGTTATATTAGGTGGGAAAAGAAGATACATATAAATAGAGATAACAATAAATAGGATACAGAGAGGAGTCTGGATAAAGTTATCGTTAAACATTTGCTCTTCCTTTATTTTCCACATCCATTCAATCACCAAAGCCTACTGATCTTACATCTTAAGTAGCTCTCTTCTACAGCACCTGTATTGGTGTCCTCATCTTCTCACCCCTTAGATTGCAACAATAGCCTTTACACTAGTCTCCCTACTTCCAAACTTGCTTCCCTCCACCTTCCTCTACAGATGTGCCAAAGTGATCTAAAACATGTATTTGACCACATCACTCCCTTGCATGAAACCCTCAATATAAAAACTGCAATACATGAAAGTAAGAAAAGTGGAGCTGCACTGATGTTGAAGGGGAGAGTGAAGCATGCCAGCAGCTGTGACCATTTATTTCCTTTTTGCCTCCCACTGCATCCTGTGAGTCACATCTGAAAACTCTAGTTACACAGTTTGAAAATCACTGGCTTCCAAGATCAATTAATATAAACTCCATCAGCATAGGCTTCAAAGTCTTTTGATAATCTCACTTCTAAAACACTGGTTAAGAAATAAGCCATATCTGAGTTAGTGACTGAGTTCTGCTACCAACCAGATATAAAACTTGAGAAAATTATTAAAACTCTCCAAACTCCAATAATATAAACTCCATCAGCATAGGCTTCAAAGTCTTTTGATAATCTCACTTCTAAAACACTGGTTAAGAAATAAGCCATATCTGAGTTAGTGATTGAGTTCTGCTACCAACCAGATATAAAACTTGAGAAAATTATTAAAACTCTCCAAACTCCAATTTACCTTTGATAAAACCATCAATAACAGCACCCATTCATAGGTTGTGTATAGATTACATGAACTAATGTATGTGCTTAGCACAGTACCCAATATACAGTAAATATGTCAATAAACATTAGCTACTGGAATATTGTTGCTTCATTGTTCACATCCTCCCTCACATTTTACCCTTCAGCTTACTGAACACCCCACGTTGTTTCAAGCCTCTTTCTTTTTGAAAGCTCTAGCCAAACCCTGAAACACCCTTTCCCACACTATGAGTCTGACAAACTTCTAGACACCCTTCCTGACTTTCCCTGTCAACATTATGCACTTCTTCCTCTATATTAATTCTATACCTTGTACATTTCTTCCATTATTGCCTCCATTACATTATATAGTAATTACCAGCTTATATGTCTACCTCTCTTCCTAGACTGAAGTTCCTAGAAGCAAGGAACCATATCTTATTTCTCTTTTTATCCCTATGGCCTAGCCCAGCTCCACCTATACCAAGATCTCAAAAAATGTTTTTAAATGTGGGAGCTAAAACTTATTGACACCAGTAAGTACCAGACACTAGGCCAAGAGCTTTACATAAGTTCTTTCATTTTCTTAAAGGAATAAACTGTCAAAGACATAAGTAATACTCTTGCTAGAGGTTTTCTTTAGCAGACCTCAAATCAGCACTCTCCCTTAGAAATAAAATGTAAGCCACATATTAATTTTAAATTTTCTAGTAACTACATTTTATAAAAGTAAAAAGAAACAGGTAAAATTAATTTTATAATATACTCTGTTTAACACAATATATCCAATATATTATCTTTCAACATATAATTAATATAAAAAATGAGATATTTTAGGGCCGGCCCGGTGGCGCACTGGATAGTGCGCCGCTTGGGAAGCGCGGCGGCGCTCCCGTCTGAGGGTTCGGATCCCATATACAGACCGGTTCCCGCTCACTGGCTGAGCGAGGCGCGGGAGCAACACCGAGGTTTGCGATCCCGTTGCCGGTCCCCGGTCTGGTACGGGGGCAACACTGAAGGTTGC